CAGAATAATGCGTTTCACAGCCTGGGGAGGAACCGTCCTCCAGCTTCGTGTTGTTAGTGGACCACATTCTTCTCTCGTGTCATAATCAGGCACAGGCCTACAGTTCGACGGCAGGAACACGACGCTTTCATCGCTGAAGGAGAAATTTCACTCGTATATTTTCCTCATTACTCTAAAATCTTTTTCTGATTAGCATATTTTCCATTTTTTAAAACCGGGTATTTTGCTGGAGGTTTGTACACATGATTGTAGTAAAACGTTCAAAAGCTCGTCATACTTTGAACTGCGCTGCTTCCTCGTGTGCCAGTGTTTTAATAAAATATTTCTGGTTTTTATTTAAAGGGTGCTTACGTTTCATTTCTGTGATCTTTTGTACCGTTTCTCCGTAATTAGCTGAAGGAGATATCAGGAATATCGCCACAAGCATGAGAATGAGGAAACATTTAAGTGTTGTTTATGTTTCGGTTGAGGTCTGCTCCGAGTTATTGGCGATCAGGAAATGTTTAACTTGATTATTTAAGCTTTTGACAATAATGTGACTCACAGGACGTTTAAACAATAACGGAAACTGCTAAAATCAACACTGAGGAAGATATGAAACACAAACCCATCCAAGCTAATGCTTCTGGAACGAGTTAATAATAAGGAAATAATCTTATTCTGATTACTGGGGCTAAAAGAGATAAAACGTTTAATACTTAAACTGTACTCCTCTGCTGGCCGTGTTGCTAGGTAACGGGACTGGGCGTGGCTGGGGTTGCTAGGTAACGGGACTGGGCGTGGCTGGGGTTGCTAGGTAACGATGCAGTGCCTCCTGATTTGTGATGTTTAATTCCACAGGTTTTTGGAACGGTTCGTTTTCCAGACACCAAAAGGCTGTCTGAATGTTTTTCTTAAGAGCATGGTTCAGTTTTTAGAAGGAGCAGAAACCCAAATGAACGAGGCACGCTGAGATTTTAATATTTACTTAGTTGTTACTCCAGCAGAAACCATATGTTGACCACAGGATTAGTTCTTTAAGGCTCAGTAAGTTTGTTAAACCGTCAATCTGTTAGCAAGGCTTGAACCATGTGAGTTCATCGCTTTAAACCGAACATCATTTGGTCTTTAGATCCTTTTCTTTCGTCGTCTGCAGATAATTCGATCCTGTTGCAACATGGCGACCACTCGGAACCATCTGGAGAGGATACTGTACTTTTTTGAAGATGGATTTTTTTGCCCGTCAGCGACGCACACATCCTTTTTGCCAACAATAAGCGACCTATCAAAGATCTTTGCCCCCTCAAGTCTTACATTTCCAACTCACTTGTAATTTTAAAACCAAAGCAGCTCTTTAAACAAAACCAGAAACGAGAGAAAATGTGTTCAGGCTTCTCACTCCTCCATCATTTTCCTCAACTTTCCTGAGGCCGTGAACCCTGCAGGTGTGAAACTATCCGTCTGTCCGGCTCCGCGTTGATCTCGATCCTCTGACCTCCACTCGCACACATCTGGCACAAACGCCAACGCTACAAGCGGGTGAAAGCATGGGGGACAGGAAACTAGATCTGATGCTCGGCGTTTCCATACAACCGTTTTCTGCCAAGTTACACTGAAATTCTGCATCGCACAATAAATTCAGGCAGTTTCAGTGTGAAACTGACTGATTGGTTTAGTCAGTCACTGTTTGACAGGAACTATGTTTTAGGCTCTTCGTGTATGGATGACTTGCATCACTGGACAAAAGAGCAAACCGTCTCTGTGAGTGATGTTTTATTTATGTGGTGTTAGCCCAAAGTAGAAGAGGAGGTTACTGGAGCCCCATAAAGACATTGAATATGAGCTTAGATCCTTGTCTTGTTGAGTTTAGAGAGGAACAAACTGTGTCTAAATAGAAAATACTGAGATTTCTTTCTCTCCAAGTCGTATTTTTAACCATTTCCTACTATAATACTGGAAGTGGTACCAGTGGATTTGCTGCGTTTCCCAGTATTATTGAACACTGGTTTTTACCCTGGTCTCATCAATTAACTTTCTGAAACAACCAGAGGTAACTGTGGCCATAATGTAAGCGTTAGTTAACATGTTAGTATAATTGTTCAGCTAATAGCCCATTTAACATTATTGTGTATGTTTTTAATGTTCACAGATGCAGAGAAATGGACAAGGAACCAGACAGTTCATTGGCTGGAAACAATTCACCAGAGTTCTGTCAACCAACTAATTATTCACAAATGTTTGCCTAACTAAATGTAAAGCTAAAAGCATTTTAGATAAAACCTCTAGTCAAACTAGATGTTGGTGTGATAATTAGTTTGCACAACTTTCACAAAATCATCACTTGAAAACTTGTTTGTTGTTTAATAACTCCATCTCTTCCAAACAAATGTAATATTTCTGGATTTATGAGTTTGTCCGATGCCAGTAATGGATGAAGGGCTGGGAAAAGCAAACTCCAGCGTTCCTGGTTTTGCTTTTTGAGTTTGTGTTGTGGAAATCCAGCTGGAATCCAAAGGTCTACATCTTCCTCTCTTTCATGTTTCAGCGTTTTTGCTTCCAAGCAGCTGTCTCCTTGCATTGCATCCCTGTGCATCCCTTCCAGGTTATGACATCCACGGTTGACTTACGCGGCGGCACACACTCCGTCCTCCGTGTTAAAAATTATTAGTCGAAACTCACAAACCGAGCAGCAGATGTTCATCCGGACCTTTCCCACATCATCTACAGGGAAACTAAACTCTACCTCTTTGGGTTTCTTGTTGTTTTTGATTGGCAGCTAATGAATAATGAGGTCTGGATGCGTCACAGGATCAAGTGAATAAATGCATGAGCTTACATGCGTCTGTCCAGGCCCGTGTTGACACTCGTTCACCACCGCCAATGCATTTCAGCACATATCAATCAGAAGCCTGGGAGTGCTTGTTTCAGGAAATATTTATGCGGCGCTGCATGTGATTATGCGTACATGTGATCCGTGCACACTCACGTGCACGTTCACGTGCCGCAGGAAATACATTTCTGAGATTCTGAGATTTCCCTGCCAATCATGCGTCAGCCTCCATTTGGTAATCGCTCTAATCAATGCAGAGGCAGAGTTGCTTTCCCTTTCTTCTGTCGTTCTTCTGGATAAACCGCAAGAGTTCAACCTCAGCTCTTTTCCTCTCCTCGCTTTTCCACTGCTTACAGTCTCGATTAAATTTAGTTCATCTGTGGAGAGATTTTTAATTTATTCCTGGTCCAGAATTTATGTTTACCACAACTCCATGAAATCCCCGGGTCTGCAGCCATGGATGGGTTTCATGAGTTTGCTGCTGCTTAGTGCTTTAACGTTGACCTATGATGCTTCCTTGAACAGGTTAGGATGGATCTATGGTCTATACAAAACATGTTCATTACATTTTATGCTCAAAATTGTTCTTAGATGATGAGATTTTAGTCTGTTTTAGGGTGTTCTGTCACTTTAAATCCAAATAAGCTGCTTTATGAAATGCCTCCAACTCAACGTTTACATTCCCACGTGAAAATGGCTGCAAACATATGTGCAATTATACAACCGGACATCTTTGAAAAGTACTAGTAGAGCCTCCTGCACAATCAACAAGAATGCAGTAGGCGGCTTCTGGACGGTAAGTCAACAACAAAACATTTGTCTTTTCCAGCAGGCGTTGTACAGCACATACAGCGGTAAAATCAGCTGACCAAATGTGCTGGAACTCAGATCAGGTTGCTAGGTAACGGGCTGGACTTGGCTGGGGTTGCTAGGTAACGTCTCAGTGCCTGCTGCTTTTGAAACGCCTCGTTTCCAGACACCAAAAAACATTAACCCTTATTGACTATAAAACAAAACCAAAAGAGGAAGGATTTCTTTCAGACACTAAAAAAACATTAACTTATTGCCAAAGAAAAACAGCTGGCTGTTTTTAGAAGCAGCTGAAATCCAAATGAAAAGAATAGAAAAACATGTGAAATGTGAATTTTGCATAATGGCTCCCCGTTATCCTCATCTCCAGTAGGTGTAAGTGAGTTTATTGGTGAAATCAAGAACAGGTTTAAAAATTTAAACCACGTTCGACTGAGTCACGAATATAAAAAGCACTGTGGTTTCTCTATTCCCTACGTTTTATGCTAGTGTTGGTCATTCTTTTTTCCTTTCTGACAATCACAGAGGTAACATTTCACTCTGCTGTGAAACAAAGTAATTGTCTTTGCATCTCCTGTTAGAGCCTGAAAACCATTTCAGACTGGGATGGAGGTTTTCCTTCCAACAGGACAATGACGTCGCTCATTTCAACCACTTCATGCCAGCAAGAGAAAAACAAAGACAGCTTTAGGTAAAACGGTGTCCAACTGCAGCTAAATCAAAAAGTGTTTTTAATGAAGCATATTTTAAGCCTATTACGACGGCTGAACTGCGTTCTGCAATGATCCACTTTGTTCTGTGTTCCTTCCACTCTTCTACTCATTTCCGTGTCTGCTGCTCTTTCCCCGTCTCCATCGCTTCAGTACAATACCCTGTCTGTTACTAAAATCACAGCTTAGGTACAGTACAGTGTTTTCCATATGGCTCCCATTCACCGACTGCAGAGAAAGGTTATATTGTAGCGTACTAGCCTGTAAAAACATAACAGGGGCGACTCTTAAACTATAATGAAAACCCTGCTTGCTCCTTCATTTACATCGCCTGAAGAAGTGGTTTCACCTGGCTGTTGGAACCACTGTCTCCTGCCCCAAAGCTCTTAGGTTTGACCCTTGTGACAAGCCAAATATTGAGGCTGGAAAAAATGTTCGCAAAGTGAGAATGTCAGCAGGAATTCCTGTCATTTATCCATCCTGATTGTAAGTGATACTTAAAGCTGTGTTAAATTTAGAAAATGTCTTTTCAGGGGAGGAAAAGATCGATAAATGCCAGGATATTATTGTGCTGCAGACATGCGTCATGTTTTTGGATTGTGATGTTGAACCGTTTGGTACTAAAAAGTAAAAGTGAAATACTTCATGTTGAAACTGTTTATTTGGTTTGAGTTTGGCTTATGTGTAAAGGTTATGAGTTGCTAACAATACAATTTAAAGCTAGTAGAAAAGTAACTGAAGACAAACTAGCAGATGATCAGACAAGTTAGAAGCTAATTAAAGACAAGCTAATAGCTACTGATAACCATGGTAACAAAAAAATGCATGTAAACCTAGTTGAAGAAACGCTAACAGCTAGTCAAAGATATGTTGACATAAAAAGATGACTTAGAAGCTAGTTAAAGACAAAATAGCAGCTAATACTAGCTAACATAAGTACACATGTTAAAGCTAGTTGAAGACAAGCTAACAGCCAGTCATAGATATTAGGTAAAGCTAATTAAAGTCAGGTTAATAGATAACCACAGATATGCTAACATAAAAAGGCAAGTTAAAGATAATTAAAGACGAGCTAACAGACTCTCATAGACTTGCTAACATAAGAAGGCAAGTTAAGGCTACTTAAATTCTAGCTAATAGCTAATAATAAATATGCTAACATAAGCCATGTTAAAGCTAATTTCATGCTAGTTATTATCTACTCAGATATGTTGACATAAGAAGGCAAGGTAAAGATAATTAAAGACGAGCTAATAGCTAATCATAGATTTGCTAACATCTTTTGAAGACAAGTTCAGATAAGTTACCCAGCCAATTTCCACCAGGATTGTCCTGAAAAAATAAAAAAGGCAATTATGTATCATGTCAAACGTCATTGTGTATTTCAGCTCCTCAAGCTGCATCTTCCTTCGCATCTTTTAGATATGCTCTATGGGAAAATCTGTGAATATTTTTTTTATTTTTAAACTTTTTTATTATTATTATTGGCTCTAGTGGCCTTTATTTGAAAGTAGTCAGACAGGAAAATGGGTAAAGAGAAAGGGGAAGACATGCAGCAAAGGTCGTCAGGCCGGAGATCGAACCTTTGACGTCTGCATCAAAGACTAAGGCCTCCATGTGTGGGTTGTGCTACACATACGCTACCACCCCAAAATCTGTGAATACTGTGCAGCAAATAGGTACAGTCAAACTTTTAACTGAAAGATTTAAAATAAATTTACTTTGCACTTTTGATTTAAAAACAACTCCAACAATCTACAAGTTGGAGGTAGTAGGTAGCTTGACTCAGTAAGCTGTTAGCTTGACCTACAAGTAGCAGGTAACTGGACTCCAGATACCAGTTAGCTGTTAGCTTGACCTCTGAGTCGTACTTGGGATGATTGTGTTTGTTTTCCCACAATCAGTGGGTTGCCGGTTCAGTTCCTGCTCCGTCCGATTGCTCTACAACATCAAACTTTCAAAATGACAAAAATCTGACCTTTCTTCTCAGCCCCATATTAAAAGAGAAATTCCTTAAATACAGTTGCTTAACTTTGTCAAAAGGGCATCAAGTAATTTCCATGTTCAGTATTTTCCATGAAACAACTGAACAAACACTTCGGAGCACCTCACCCGGCCCGTTAGCCCTTCAATTACCCCAAACTGAGCATGTAAACGTACAAAAACCAACACTTTGTCAAACATTACAATCTACACTTCTCAGACAAGTTCCATTAGGAGAAACTTATTGCTGACACACACGCGTAATCTTCTCGGCTCATAGGCATTAATATCAGGGGGTGAGATAATGACTCCCGCGGGGTCTGACCTTTTTAAGTGGGATGGAAAACAAAGGCAGCACTTAGACGGCCGCCCACGAGTGTGTCAACATGCACACGCATCGTTCAGACTCTTCGCTGGGATTTATTTTTGTAAAAAGGGAGGACCGGAGCCTTGGCAGTCTCTGCTGTATTTTTACTCAGATGATTTTTGCTCTGCCCTTTTGTTTGCGTTGGTGCTGGTGAGTCGAGTTTGTACGAAGGACTGAACGTGTCTATGTGGAGCTCTCAAACTAAGGACTTGACTGCTTTCCAGCTACCGAATAGATTTATTTATTCTTTCCTCCCTTTTTATATAAATGCTCTTAAACAGTCAGTAGGAGTGTGTGTGTGTGTGTGTAGCAGATTTTCTTTTCTGTTTCTTGACTCAGGTTTAAAATCAATTATATGTATGGATATTACATTTTTAGTGATTTATACTTTACGTGTGTCTGCGTTTGGAGAGTTTTTGGCAGATGTGAACAACTGGGAGAGCAAAAGAACAAGAAAACAAGAAAAAAATGTATTAATCCTCATTAAATCACCATTTGAAAGCAATAAAATATGTGATCACATCTCGAAAGAATCTGTAACAATTAGAGAATGGACCGTGTTTAATCCCTGGCAATTTGCTCTGTATTTATATTGTGGTTACCAGAATGGCTCTGCAAAGTAATGCAATTAATTCAACACTTAACACTAAGTACGAATGAAAGTATCCATTTGCTTCTGTTTTTGAAATTTCTTTTGGCTCGAGTGGCCTCTATTCATCGATGTTCGACAAGAAAAACCTGTCAAATCAGAGAAAATAACAACAGATGCGCCAAAAATCGCTAACTACATGACTGTATACATCTGCTTGGTAATAGACTAGACACTAAAAAATATTCAATAAATACCTCTTTATTGGTCAGTTGGTGTATATAATTTGCTATTCAGAGCTGTAACATCTAAAATGTATTGGATTTAATTTTTTTACACCTCAGGATTCGCAGTGCTTCACCATTTCAGGTACACACAATAAACAAACATTACATTACAGCGGACAAATAAAGAGAAGCAATGAAAAGTTAGACGGGATTCTCTCTGGGTCGAGGTGTCAATGCTTACATAAAAGAAAAAAAGAAAATATTGTGATAAATGTTAGAAAAAATCAATTACTTTGGTAAAATTCTGCTTTAAAGCACTTTAATAAAAGCGGCTCCACTTTGAATGTGGCTTTGTTCTTCTGTTCTTGTTCTGTACAATAAAACTATTGATCTATAAATCGAAGTAGAAAGAAATGGGACATAAATGTGTGTGATATTTTTTAGTACTGGCTCCTTTTTTCTCCCCACTTCAGGCCAAAACTAAACTAAAACAAGTCAGATATGTAAACAGTTAGCTTAGAAAGTTAGCTATGTATCTTATTAGCTCAGAAGATATAAATATGATGCGTTTTAGTTTAATTTTTCTGAGTTCCCAGTCGGAAAAGCAACAAGATTACCACATGAAGTAGGAATTCAGACTTGGAAGGTCGTAGCTGCTGCAGCGACTCTGAGTGTGCAATCCAACATGGCTGCTAGCTGGCGTCAAGAATCTACTGAAAGTTTCCAGTACCAGTTAATATTAGCACTGGAGTTCATCACTGTGATTAAACCAGTGATGAATGTAGCAGTGTACAATATCTATTTGTAAACATGTTTTTTTAGTATTTGAAGACATAAAATGTAGAGAAACTACATTGTCGTGCTAACAGTTACAAGTCCTGTTTAACTTGAGTTCCCAGTGCCGGGCCATTGCTATGGAGACAAATTAGCAGTATTCATCCAGCTAGGTTAGCATACAGCTCGCTAGCTGTGGAGCTACAGAGGAAGATAGCTACATAGCTAGCTATCTAATAAGGAGCATATAATTGATAGCTAGCCAAAACCTGGTAAAATGCCTAGTTTTAGCAGAATGAAAGTAAAAATTAACTTAAAAAAACAAAAATGAAACGTACATTATTTAAACTGGTGTATTGTTTTGTTTAAATAAAGGGAGAAAAAAAACTTACTGAAATGAATACTGGTAAAATGTTACCAAGCTATTTGAAAGGTTAGCTCGTCTTGGTTTGCTCCGACTTGTGATGTCTCACTGTCGACTGAAACAAATGCTCCATCATGGTCAGGAAGACATAAAGTAAAATCTGCCAGAACATATTTAAAGATATGTTGTTTAGCTAGTTTAAAAATAGGAAAATAAGTTTGCCCTGAAAATGAACTTTTAGAAATAGAACCAAATTGAAAACAACTGCTGGCATTATGAAAGGGAATATAATCAACCAGGACAAAAAGCTGAAAAAAGAAAAGGCGGTTTGTGGTTGGAATGGTGAGATTAATTTCAACTGCAGTATTGGGAACCTCTTATTAGTTATTAGAGCCACTATAAAAACACACACTACCAGGGGGGTAGTGCTAAATCAACCACTGGGACTATTATAAAAGCCACAAGTAGAAAACACACACATCCACCTTAGAACTGCTCTTTAATAGTTTTGGCAGTGCATCAGGGTTGTTATCTTAATGGGTAAATGTCCAGTTGGGCGACTGCCATGAGTACAGTCAGCACACGCTCATAACCACATAAAATGACAACAAACAAGCTCTGAAAACACACACTTTACAATGGCAGTATCACATATTGTACACACACGAAGCAGCCTTTCAAAATGTTCTGCCTGCCGTACGTTGAGCTCTAATTGGCAAAGCTCCGTGATTGGCTGCTGGACGTCTGCCAGGGACCAGTGAGACGCCTCGGTCTGCTCCTACAAACCCAAGGCTCCTAAAACAGCAGGGGGCCAGAGTGTGTGTGGGCGTGTTTGGTCACCTTCGTTAGCGGTAACGGCACCCACTGACACAGACCTGCATACCTGTACCGCACCACTGGCTGCAGGATTACACTCCATAAAACCTGAAATTAATAAGGCATGGGAACCAACATGGCTGTGTGTTGGAGCCACATGTGTCACACACACACACACACACACACACACACACACACACACACACACACATATTATGTCTTTCTACCTTTACAAGGGCTTTGCATTGACTTCCAATCATGTTTCATTCATTTCTATAGCCTAACCCTGACCTTTACCCTAAACTTAATTCATTGCTACGGCGGTGCAATATATCAATAACAGTATATATCATAACAGACATGTGATCAATAACCATAGACAATATATCTGATATAATTTTCAATCATTTCAATAACTGATCTAGAACCCCACAGCATTCTGGGAGATGTAGGCAGAGGAAAGGGCTTAGCTTAGCTGCTCAACATCTCAAGGCTAGCTTAGCTAGGTTGGTGGAATCAACTAACTGACTCACTCTTTGGTTACCTAGCAACAACACGCTGG